TGTTGTGGCCTGGTTCGCCCGCGAGGGACTCACTAGGTCGATTTCGGCCCCGGCCGGGGAGCAGGCCGAGGGGGGGGATGGNCTACCATGAACTGGGACCCCGTGAGGGGGCAGCATGGGGTAGGCTAAGCTGCCCTTCGGATCAAAAACAGAAACAGCAGCAACAGAAGAAAACTGCACCCGTCTACCAAGGCTATTACCTTGTACTCGAAATCGTTTAGGAGTACTTTCACCATTATCCTCCTTGTTTTCGCTACCATCATTCTGATCCTCATTTTGACAAGAAGAAGCTCTGGGCAGTTCTTCCCTAGCCCTACGTTTCTTCTTGTGGGGAAGGTCATTTGACTCAAACCCTTTGCTCTCTTCCACTCCTCAATGTTTTCNNNTACTATCGTTGTCGCAGAGATCCCAACCGATTGGCCCTGGTGGAAGTTGGTCGATCAGTAGCCCATGACGTTTGAACACATCGCGAGTTCGCATACACAGAAAACGAGCTAGCTCGAAGGTAAACCGTCTCCGAATCCTGTTAGTATGAAAAGCTTTCAGGCGAACTAAGGCCCTCTCGTCGTCAAAATTTTCCCGGCAAAAAGCTTCGTGCGCCAAGTGGTTGGCGATAGCAACGATGAGTCGATTGGTGCCTTTGCCAAGACCACCATTCGTTGAAAAAGCAGCAGTAAGGAGGGTAGATCTAGACGGGTTGAAAGTTCCCGCATAGTGATTTGCCTTACTTGCAGCTCGATCTTCGAGGGCGAATCCTGGCTTAAGGATCGACTTACTTGTCGATGCTTCGACCCGCGGATGGGTTGACGATTGTTACGTCTATGAGAATGGACTTGGTGCAGAGTTCCTCTTCCTTGTCTCCTGCGTGTAATCCTGGGGGGATTACCAAATCCATCTTGTATAGCCCCTTTCTCCTACCAGTGCATGTGTGTGTGTGTGTGCAGTTATTTACTCGTTGTGGTCAAGAACCTGCTGTATTTTGTGGAGTCAGGGATTGCTGTCTAATTCGACCATATTTACCAGCGTGTGTGACGTGCTGAGTCAGTTTGAGGTCAGCCGCCGACTGATGTAGTGATTTGACTGTATTTGCCATCGGCCCGACGTTAGGAGCAGTCTTGCTTGTACATATTTATTGTGGAATATTGCCCGACCCTATTCAAGAACAAGCGTTGGACAAAAATATGGCCTTTCTTCTATCGGTAACGTCGTATGTATGTGTACTTAACCCGCGGTGGAAGTCTCGTTCCACCCCATCCTTTTCACACGTACGTTATGCTCTCCGTGGACAGCACGGGACCTCGCCCTGCCCCACTGTTATACGAAAAAATGCGTGCGCCCTGGCGGCAATATGCCCACAAGCAAACTTGGAAGGAAGCTTCTACAGTGTATGTAGTATAAATTGTTCTTTTCAGGGTATCTAGAAGTGATAACCGACGGGTTCCTTGTCCCTAGGGAGAGAAATCACTCTTCGCGAGTGTTTTTCTTGTCTCTTTTTCAAATCAGAACGGGGTCGAAAAAATGATGATCGCGAAAGAGAGAAGGGAGGAAACGAGCTCTCTTATTGGTTATCCCGCAGTTTCGCGGTGCAACAACATCAATCATCGTACCAGGTGGGTTCCAGTTCAAATATTGGTGCGCGCTAATTACGCGTACTCGACCTATTCAGCATGATACAACCTAATTCAAAGTGCTATACATCCGCAAAAGAGACAGCTACAAGATGCGAGACATCCTGCAGCAAAACACCTAAGCATGACGCCACCGCGTGGGTGCCATTTTTCAGCCAAATCTGTCTTCCCCAACGCCTACGCGCAACAAATCACTACAAGACTTTGTCATCTTGCTCTCTTATCAACAGTTCGCATTCATGCCAAGTTTCGTGCCATTTGGCAACGCACACAGCGCGTTCTCGTATTCACCAGGGATGTGCCGTCGGCTCGCCCGAGGTTCCGCCGCGTCTTTGAGGGCTCGCATGCTTTCCATATTTTTTTTGGGCCCACGTGAGGTCTTCCACTGCTGAGTTCTAGCGCTGTGGTGCATAGAATTCCATACTACTTGGGCCCGTCGCTAGCTATTGGAGACATCTACAGCCATAGTGCTTCATCTTGGAGGGGTGGCTCTGCTGTGTGCGTGTATAGCACCGTAGAGTGCGAATTGGTTCTTACAGTCTAACTTCCATTTTGGTACGCGCAGCACTGGATTGCAGCAGTCCGGAAACATCCAGTCTGCGCACCCCCCTTGGACAAGGTTGTAGGTTTGTCGGTGGATGGTGGTGTTGCCTGCTGGCGTGTGACGGTGCGATGGACAGGATATGCTAGCGCTAGTTTTGACTTTGGTGACGGTACTGCGAGCTGACCTTGGCACGTTGGCGATATCGACAGCAAGGCCGAGGCTTTCGACGGTCCCCACGATGCCACGCTCTCTCAAACCTCTTGGAGCCGCTTCTTGTGCCGACGATATTGAAGAGTTGCCTGCGGCGTTCGTGCGGGACTACCGGCAACACCAAGCCGTGACGTATCATGCCTTCACCGCGGAAGAGGTGAGCTGTTTTGTCCCGTCTGACGACATCAAACCTTCGCTCATCTGCCACCTCTGTGAAGATGCCCCTACGCAGTACGAACAAAATTCAAATTTCAAACTGCTGCACTTAAAAAACAGGTTGCAGGTATCGATCCTCGCGCTCTCGGGAGATGCTGCTCATTAGCGTGTGTCGTGTGTGGTGCTGCGTGACTGGGCTGTACCATATGGACGTGCCTTGTTGTTGTTGCTGCTGCTGTTGTTGCCTTTCCACTGAAAATCTTTCTTACGTCTCCATTGAGCACAATAGTATGGGTCCCTCAGTAGTGCCAATGCGTTGACTAGGGCCCTCAGCCCTTGTTAATAGGCAGGGTAGTCCTCGGTACCAGTTTTTTTGATGGACACAATCGGGACGGTTTGCAAAATGACGGTAGTTTTTTGGCGGTTTGACGGTACTTCGTTTTTTGACGGTACCACTTTTGGCGGTTGACGGTACCGCCGAATTTGCCGGCACTTTTTCGGCGATTTTGCAAAATGACGGTACTTTTTTGACGGTTGGCGGTAGTTCGTTTTTTTGACGGTACTTTTTTGACGGTACCGCAATATGACGGTACTTTTTCGGCGGTCTTGCAAAATGACGGTACTTTTTTGGCGGTTGACGGTACTTCGTTTTTTTGAAGGTACCTGTTCGGCGGTACTGCGAAATGACGGTGATGACGGTGGTTTCGGCGGTTGACGGTATTTCCTTCAAAGACCACGCCATCGAGATAAGATCAAATCGTCAAATTGAGAAACTGACAAACTGAGCAGCCACGCGGAAACATGCATCACGAAAAGAAAACAGACGGAGAGATGGATGCGATCGAAAACCAGGAACATGCCAAGACGACAAGGCGTACTCTGGGTTTCTCGAAGAAAAAAGAAAACAAGAAAACCAAAAAACAAGAAAAGAAAAAAAAAAGAAAGCAGAAAACTAGGTATAGCTGAGTCTTGTAGCTCCCTCGGCCCCATGCAAGCCCAGACTTCTGCTGTCACCCGTAGCCGCTTTCGTCTACAGGCAAAGGTCAACCGTCTGGTTCGCCCTCTCCTCCTGAGCAGCCATTGACGTCTGTGCGGTCTGGGTTGCCGTAGCTCTCGCCTGCGCGACTGCAGCGTCCAGCTCGCGGACCTCGGCGACCAAGTGCCTGTTCAGCCTGATGAACATCATGCGCTCAACCTTGCTTGGAAGCATGTTGCAGCGTAGTTGGCCAATCAGGTGGGCGAGCGCTGAGAAATTGCGTTCGGCCTGACAGCTGGTGACCATTCCAAGGTACAACCGAGTGATAAACGCTAGGTAGGGCATTTCTGCCGGAGATGTGACCTTGCCAGTCGTCGGGTACACGCTGTCAGTGCCCCGCCTATTCCAATACCCCAGAACGTTGAAACAATCCACGTCGAGCTGTGGCTGCTCGGCCAGGTACAGCAAAACCTCTCATTCGATCAGCACGCGCCGCCCCGTGGTGGGAGACTGAGTCTGGAGAGAGACGCTTTCATCGCCGCCGCCGGTAGCTGCCGCCAGACGTGCCGCGCGCCGTTCCTCCAATCTCGAGACCTTCTTTTTCTTGGGTGCGGGTTCCGCCGGGTCCGTGTTCACCACCGGAGCTGGCGCTGGCGCCGCCGTAGACTCGGTGGACGGCCCGACGTCAAACTTTGCGATGACCGCCTTCAAGTCGTCTTCGGCCTTCTTCCTGAGATCTGCAGAACCGTTATCGAGTTGGTCGCTGTCAAGCAACTGCCGCCTCGGGTCCATCAACGTGGACAGACGCTCCACAGCAACCTGAGCGCTCCCCACCCCCTTCTCTCTCATCACGTCCAGCAGCACCTCGAGCACGCACTGCGCCTCCGCGGTCAGGTCCGTCACCTGCGTGTCGTCCGTGGGGATGCCTTCCGGTGGGACCGGCACGACAGTGGCGTTTGGCTGTCGGATTGGGTGGGTGTCGTCCCCCAGCATCTCGATCAGCTCGTGAATGATGAACATCGCCTGGCCGATGTGGGTATCCACGGACCCTTGCATCCGTGTGGTGACCTCGGAAACGTCGCTCAGGAGGCTGCACACCTCGTTGATGATGGTCCATTCGTTCGGTGCCAGCGTTCGATGGTTCTGGGGGTATTTTTTTAAGTACTCGGAGATGGGCTTCTTCAAGGCTAGGGCACAATCCATCATCTTGAACTGGCTGGTCCACCTTATCATGGGGACAATAATTTGCAAAAGGGAACATCGTCAGACCGCGGAGAGTGGGGGCGGGGCCGGTTGAACAGATGGTGGACGTGTCCAGTTATTTGTTGTTTCAATTTCGCCACAAACCACAAATCACAAAGTGACAAAACACATATCACTAATCACTGATCACCTTGTGTCGTTGCGTCTGAGGAGCTCGTAGATGCGCGAAAAGCCCTCTTCCAGCCTCTGAAGTTCCTTCAGCTCGTCGTTGTTGACGGCGGAGTGGCTGAAAACACCTACCATCGCTGCCAGCTTCTTCATGAGTGTGCCCATCGTTGGGTTCTTTCTCCCTTTCCCGGCTATGCCCAACGCCCACACGACTGCGGTGGCAGTTGCACTCGATGACAATAACACCCAACGCCGTACACGCGTTGATGATGTTCTTCCCTTGATCCACCATAAACGCGAGGAAGACGTCCGATGGCACCACAGACTCGCCCATGAATACCGAAAAGTACTCTAGCGTGAGCTGCGAATTGCGGGGCGTGACAATGGATGGGACAAGATCAAGAAATAAATAAAATAAATAAATAAAACTACAGCTGAANGGTTCTTTCTCCCTTTCCCGGCTATGCCCAACGCCCACACGACTGCGGTGGCAGTTGCACTCGATGACAATAACACCCAACGCCGTACACGCGTTGATGATGTTCTTCCCTTGATCCACCATAAACGCGAGGAAGACGTCCGATGGCACCACAGACTCGCCCATGAATACCGAAAAGTACTCTAGCGTGAGCTGCGAATTGCGGGGCGTGACAATGGATGGGACAAGATCAAGAAATAAATAAAATAAATAAATAAAACTACAGCTGAAAGAAACGGCTTCGGGTGCGGGACAGCTACCAGTGTGTGTGGCGGGGACGCGTGTGTAGAAGCACACGTGTCCCCGTCAGGTCAAGATCGATTCGGGGAAGATCCAAGCAAAGATTGTGCATATCCTGCACGGGTCGGGCTACACGGGCTTTGCAGCAGCTGAAAACCGCAGGCAGCAGCTGAGGAAACGACAACAAGCACAGTGGGGGGGAAGCAGAGACAGAAACGACAGCATAGACAGCATCGACCGGAGTGCGGTGGTGGCACGTGTGCACAGACACACACAGGGTGGTCCTGTCCCGTCGACGTGCTTGCTTTGCGGAAGATCCAAATAGAGTTGATCGGAGATTGTGCGAAAAAGTCGGCCTGGAAGGTTTCCGAGGAAGAAGAACTCAGGCACCGAGAGAGGAAAATTCGCGTGGAAAAGCGTGGAGAGATATCTTGGACAAGGGAAACCTAAGAGGTAGCAGTGAAGGGGCTGTTAGAGGTGAGAGCTTGTTGAAGTCGGTTTGGATCCATTGCGGCGACGATCCACTGATCGTAGATCGTACAAGCCGGATTACGCCGCAAATTGCCCACAGCGGAGGACGCAGCAGCAGCAGCAGCAGCAGCAGCGGCAGAGGCAGCCGCACGTACCGACGAGAGGGCAACATCGGAACACGTGTGCGCGACACACACACGTGGTCCCGGAGAGAAGTTTTCGAGAGATCCAAACAAAAGCTCGATCGGAGATCCTGCAGCCTCGCTTCTGGAAGAGTCAGCGGCAGGAGCAGCTCAGCGTGGTGAGAGGAAGACCAGGGGACAGGCGGCAGCAGCAGCAGCAGCGGGAGGAAACAACAGTCAAAGGGGCCGAGGAGAAGGCAGCTTCGAGACAATCGTGTTGGGAGCACACACACAC